CAGCTGTTCGACAGATTTACCTGGCTTGTATCACCAGTATTCCTGACTATGGCTCCATGATATGTTGGAACGGACAAGAATTCATTGCATCATCACTTCAGAAGATCTAGAATATGGCATTCAGGAAAATACTGGGAGTGTTTAAGACTCCTCCAATACTTGTCATGGAAGTAGAAGCAGCCTTGATTCCAACAAGAGTCAGGTTAAGCCGGCAATTGTACATGTATGCATTAAGATTGCTTAATTTGTCCAGAACTCATCTTGTCAATATTGAAGGTAACAGAGACCTGGAATATTCAAAAATAACCCAACTTAAAATAATTCAAAATTCAATCTCAGATATAACAGATGGATTTGAAATAAAAAAATTATCACACTTTCAGAATTCACCTCGGGAGCTGGCTCTCTCATACACCATCAATATCTAAAGGACTTCAAAGGATCAAGCAGCAAAGGACCATCAGGCTTTGCTTCAACAGACAAATTGGATTCAAAACACATTTATAAACACTGATGCCTCCATGTTGGCATGTCAGATTGGAGCATAGGCGTTTGAGCTGAAGCGGAATTGGAGGGCGAGAAGAGGTTATATGGACTGCGAGAGATGATTGAAGGTCTACTGGAGAAAACTTGGAGGAACTAAAGGTTTGAAAGATGGGTAATATAATTATCTAAAGAGTCTAGGTTCGAGCGGGTACTAATAGTTACTAAACATACTAGAGGTGACCAGAGATTAACCGAAGGTGGTGGTTGTGACAGAAAACTAAGCATGAAGAACTCTGTATCAACAGACCAATCCATCATACATATACCCGCTTTGCTTCCGCTAGCTTATCATAACATAGGTCAAAAACTAGCATCAACATAATACCAAGTGCCGGAGGGCAAGATTGAACACCTGTACGCGGTGTCCTCTACGAACCTAGGAGTGAAATATTCTCCCAGAGCCAAGTTCAGTCAAATTTCGCAATATCAAAGAAGTTGGCCCACGAGGCGATGATTCAAAATACTCCGCCATGTCATTTTTCGCTCCCAACGAGTTCGACTCCTACCTCAGTCTCATCAAGTCTACAAGTACGACCAAATATATCCTCATTCCGATGAACACCTCTCTTCGGCCTTCTCTGGCCTCAGCCGGTCACGCCCACGCCGATATTTATATCCGCAGGAGGAAGCAAAGCGTGGCGCACAATTCTGGAAGATAGTTCTTTGGGATGAACGTGAGAGGGATCAGGACAAGTTCACGAGATTATGCAAAGAATGAATACCGTCTCGACGGGCATGAACTTTCGAATTCTGGCAAGGAGTTTTTATAAATTGAGCTTTGTGCGCGCCAAGACTTCGCTTGCGAGAGTGCAGCTGACACTATTAACACAAGCCAACGATGGAAGGTGTCGTGGTCCGCCTCCTAGTGGTATTCTCTGGTATGGTTTGAGTAGCCTGGGCACCTACTCCACTTGGGAAAGAGACACCTCAGATCACATATCGCGCGGAGAATAGTTGAAAGATGATGAAGGCATGTCTGGATAACTCAGGGTTTTTGAGACGTTCTCCTGGGTGGGTATTCACGGATGAGGGTTGACTTGGGGGGAAGAAAAAGCCGCCATAACTTCGCAGTGTTACTTGTAAATGAAATCAGAGGCATGAGTGCTCTTCCTTTACGTTGAATCATCTATTCTGTACTTTTCTTTGATATTGTTTTTTGTTTTGTTTATTTTGTCCTAAGCTAAAGCTCTTTATCCACATAGGGTCAAGGACCGGCGGATCCAGCAGGATTCCCTGTAACTTTTGCTATAGCCTAGCTCGTTCCAACCTCGTGAGTCGCTACCAAAAGTGCAGCTGATTAAACTAAAACGAAAAATCAAGAAAATCAAAACAGCTCCGAAAGAACAGAAGATTCCTCCATAATGGACCCAGTCAATGTGCTCCTCACACATTCCGTCGTCAGTCACACCTTCCAAATGACAAATTTACTTAATCTCCGCTGAAAGCAGTAGATGAGTTAGCAGGCACCTTTGATCCAGCCGGTATCCTGCTAATTGTTAGTAGATGCCCCAGAAGGGGGCATCGTCGAGTTTGCTGTGTCCTCAAACTTCTTCTTCAGGTCCCAGCACTCCGAAACCTGTTGCCTCGGCCATTGCGGTATCCTTCGCCGCGGCGACAATCGCCTCTTCGGCTTTTTTGGCTGTAGCCCTAGCTCGAGCCGCCTCCGCAAACTTCCCTTGCTCGAGGTGGCGTATCCACGCAAGCTGCTCTTTTGTCACCGGCCCAGAATTTCTGGGTCTGACTTTGCAATCCCGAGAATCCGATCAGTGGGGTCCCCCACAGTTGCGACACTTTGTGAGGGCCCTGCACTCGGCTTCCGAGTGCATAGTTGATCCACAGTTCCAGCAGGCTGGAGCGCGGGAGCAACCACGAGTGGCGTGGAAGCCAAAACAGCGTTTACACTGTTCAATTTGTCGACGAGGCTTGTGTATGGTAGCCCTACCAGACTCGTCGAAGGGTCGGAAGCCCGCACGAGGGGCGACTTCCCGGTCGAAAAGGACGTGCCAGTCTCGGTGCGGTGCCCCAGGTCGACACGTCCCATGAGGTCGGACGTGTATTGGTCAAGCGCCGGTCATAACAGCGATCTTGTCGAAGACCCACTCAGAATCGACCGCCATTGGGCCTCGCTCTGTGATTATATTTATAGGTACGTTGGGTATCTTTAAGGCTACAAGATCTGAAGATGCCTCGAGTTTGATGTTTTCACTCGCCAGCTTCGAAGAGCCATCTAGCATCTCTTGTCGTGTTTTTTCGTCCTTTGCTAGCATAGCAAAGCCGGTCCTCACTCGATGAAGCGTGGTTATTTTATCGTGAAAATAAAGGAATCTCATCTCCAATTTACTTCTCACGCAACTTGTGGACAGTTTTCGTCACGGGTGGTCCTTTTCAAGACGAAAAAACAGTCGCTTGTCGACTTTCGCCTTGTGGGTTTCTTTTTGTTGGGCTTTGGCCGCAGGTCGCGGCATAGCCTTGGCAGTAGGGACTGCTTTTTGTTGCAGTCCGTGTCTGGCCACCGTGGGCCAGGTGCTTTTGACGGGTAGAGCTGGGACGGTGGGTATTGTTTGGCTCCTGGCGTCGGGAGCCCTTGGGAGAGGGTTCGTCGGGCGAGGAGGGAGAACAAGTGGCGTAGTAGCCGGGCCCGTGGCCATGTATTGCGCAATGGCGGCGCGTAAGTAGACTCTCATGGAGTCTAAGAATTGTCTATTTGACCCGTTGGTCAAAGGGAGGAGTGTGGCTTCGACGCCAGAGATGGCGGCGGAGCAGAGGGCCAGATTTGCCGCTATTTTGGCGGCGCGTCGTTGTTCAGCTTCGACTATTGGTCGTAGCTCCAGGGGACACTCTGCTTTCGTGGCAGCTTTTGGCTGCGACGTTGATTTTGACGCTGCTATGGGTGATGCGTTTTTCGACGGTTTGGACACGGTCAGAGGTGGTTTGGATGATTCTCCAATCTCGTAGGGGACGGAGGGTGTTTGAGGAATTTACTCAACAATTTCGACTGACCCGATCATGTCAGTATCGGGTTCAGTGACGGCGGTGAGGGCTTTTTCCTTCCCTTTGATTGAGACCTTGCTCATCTCCGCGCATTTCGGAGACTGGGCAAGGCCAGGTACTTGTTCGAGAGCCCTTGGGTGGACTCTCGTGTTGTCCAACTTGGCGTTGGGACGATTTTTTCGAACAGGTGGCATGGTGAAAATGCCAGTGACTCGACCACAATTATTTGATAGAATGCGACGAGCACGAGATGGAGGGAGAGGGGGAAAAGGTGAAGATTCGAAAATTCGATTTTCAAAAAATTGTGTTTGATATTGTGTCTTAGCTAAATAGCTGCATACGCAATTCAAATCTGATGCAAAAAAAAAAATTATAAACTGGAGGGCAAGACTGAACACCTGTACGCGGTGTCCTCTACGAACCTGGGAGTGAAATATTCTCCCAGAGCCAAGTTCAGTCAAACTTCGCAATACCGAACAAGTTGGCCCACGAGGCAAAGATTCAAATTACTCCTCCACGTCGTTTTTTCACTCCCAACGAGTTCGACTCCTATCCAAGCCTCATCAAGTCTACAAGTACGACCTTGTACATCCTCATTCCAATGACCACACCTCTCGTCGACTTTCTCTAGCCTTAGCTGGTCGCCAAATACACGCCCACGCCGATATTTACACCCGACGGAGGAAGCAAAGCGTGGCGCACAAGTCTGGAAGACAGTTCCTTGGGATGGACGTGAGAGGGATTAGGACAAGTTGATAAGATGATGCAGAGGATGGATACAGTCTCGACGGGCGTGCAATTTTGAGTTTTGGAAAGGAATTTTTACAAATTGAGCTTTGTGCGTGCCAAGTCTTCGGCTGCGAGAGTGCAGGCAACACTATAAACACCGCCATGGTTGGATGGTGCGGTGGTACATCGTCTTGGCCGGTCTGCCAAGTAGAGTCTGGCTGGCCTGGACATATATTCTACTCGAGACAGTAGATCGCTGGTTCAAATCCGGCAAAACACAACCACATTTCTCGCGGCGCTGGTATGCATGGATGACGAAGGCATGCTTGGATAACCAAAGGTTTTTAATTTCCCTTTGGTGGGTACTAACGGAGGAGGGTCGACCGTTTGTGTAAGCAAGCATACCTCATAGTGGTATTTGCGAATGAAATCCAGAGTATGAGTGTCTCTAACGTCAAAAGACTCATCCAGTATGTATGTATAGCACCGGTCATGTGTCATAGCTAGATAGCTGAATACACATCAAATGATTTAAAAAAAAAATTATTAGATGCGATACGTGATAGGGACTCTTATGATGAGTGTCAATACATGCGATACTTGCTTTGACCGATTTGAATCACTCATCTACCCTCTCATTTCCTTATTATAGAAACGATATGCTTCCCACCGAAATTTGGAATTGTTGCAGCCTGTCCAGTCTATAACTTTATAGGTGACAGTTTGATACAAGATTAAAGTCTATTGTCTGCGACTAGGTTAGTTTGCACCTTATCACGCCACCATTCGGGGAAATCTAAGACTTGTCGTGTTAACCTGGCTTCTTCAGCCGCGAATACAATGGCATGGCTCCTAATAACTTCTTCCAAAGTGCATTTAATGTATGCCCGCTGAGCCTCGTCAACACTAAGCCCATAATTCTTAACTTGATCAATTGCATAAATAAACTGACGTGCTAAACCTTCGTCTCCACCGCCATGTCCCCCACCAGCTTTGGGAGGGGTGTATGTTTTTCGGGTACCATGTTTAAAGTCTTGCACCGTTATGGTCTCGCTGTCTGCATAAATTTCCCCATCTGACCCATAGATATTGCTATATCTTTTACAAATTTTGTGCGTATGAGCTACCATGTGAAATACAGCAGTTTTAGCACCTCGATGATCTAGCGATGATTTCGTATCACAATTTGTGGACGAATGAGGCTCATTGTCCCACGACATCAGGACTACTTGATTATCGCATACATCGTTATCTGATTCAAAGACGCAACGTCCAAACCAGTTTTTAGCAGATATCTCATAGGTAGGAGTCGAACTATCGTAATCTTCGGCTAGCTTAGCTATGAGGGCAGCCTCGCCACTTGCATATCCACCAAGAGTAATGCATTCTTCAATATCGGGCAGAAGGATATTAATAGGCCAGCTTCGATTTCCAGACTGAAGACCCTGATGCCGATCACCAAGATATATCTTTTTCGCCGAAAATTTACATTCGTTCTCAGCAGGACACTCGAGACAGTTAGTGGCACTTCCAGCAATCGTAGGCTTTTTTGACTGATTAAAATACTGTACACTTCCCATAGAGCTGATCGTAGTAGGTAGGTGAGGTTGTTGGCCAGATTCAGAAACAGGTGGCGAGCACAGTATCCAAAGGAGAAGATCCAAGTCATGACAAGATTTAGTAAGAAGAGATGGTGCCGAAGTTGAAACTTTTCTCCAGTTTCCTCTGTAAAGAATGAGTAAGGGACCAATTTTAATGGAAATTGTGCGTACCGGACATAGCTGTGAGCAAAATGCCACCAGCCCACAGGCTCGGTGTGATTAATAGACATTATTTCTCCAATCACCTTATCTTCCAACAACAGTTTTCGTAGTAGCATATTATGAGGACTGTATCTTAAGACATGACCGATAGCAAATAGTTTGGTTGGAGTAGCGTCAGGAAGATTTGGAAGTAATGATTTGTAAATCAAAATACAATCATTTAGGCTTGTGGCTAGCGGTTTTTCGCACATAATGTGTAAGCCGAGCGGTGCCAGTCCAACAATTGCATCTTTATGCAGCTCGTCAAGTATACAAATGAAGATAGCGTCAACGCCTTCTGGTACTTTCTCTCCATCGGAAGCCTTAGAGCGTCTAGCTTGCTCCCATACGAGAAAATCCTGCCAACTCTCGAACTCTTGCCCTTCGTATGATCTAGACTTCCCCCATATAAACTGCTCTCCGAAACGTTTTCTCTTGTTTAAGATAGGTTCGGCTACACAAAGCAATTTTCCGTTAGTTGAATTACAAATCGCTCTGGCATAGGCATTGCCACGGGCTCCTGCACCAATGATGAGGATTTTAGGAGAGCTACTTTCTTCAGTATTAAGAATCTTATCCCCTCTATCCATAACTGTAACAGTGCCTTTCTTCCTGGTACGATTTTTTTTATTCCCGTTGCCGAGATGAAGAATTTTGGATGTTAAACTGTGGTCAATATGCCCCCGGAGCTATATTGCATGAATTGAGGTATCGATAGATTCTAGGTTGGCAAAACAATTAGCCTCGCTCGATGTCCATAGAAGCCATATGTAACATGCATATACAGATCGACTGGCAGTCCACTAATAATTTTAGCACTGCCAACCACCCTAGCTTGAAGTACCGTGGTGCCACGATGTCAAGTTTACAATGGGGCTTTGGCAGGGGTTTCAGCGTGTAAAATAAGACGCCTTAGGCATAGTCACCTTCCATATTGGAGTTAGCCCCCGTATTTGTGCAAATTTTCGAAAAAATTTGTATGGCAGTTTTTATCTGGACACTGTGTGTCCAAGTCACGGGATATTGTGTTGAGAAGATTAGTGGGAACTCATTATGTAATCATGTATTAGCTTGTTTGTAACATTAGGAGTCTCCTGTTAGGATTATGAACAAACAACTTACATCTGGCTTAACGAACTCCACAGGCGTCCCGTGATACTTATTACAGGCGTGCTTTGAGTTCCAAGTCACCGTATGCAACTTCGCAACCCCTACACACTAACACACAACACCATAGTTTGCAGTGGGTCTTTCCTTCGTACTAAACCTAATTAGTATAATGATCGGCTGCATAAAATTTGTGCATTTTTGCTACTTGACTTTGTAACTTATTTACAATAGTTCAAAGGTTTTTGTAAGCAGACTTGTGCTTGCATAAGTCTGGATCCAGTCCAAAAGCGAAAGCACGATCTGCGTGCAGGAATGTCAGACTAGTAATGATGATCAGGGGCATCAATAGGGTAGAACTAGATATTATAGTGCTACGATGGACTCGTAGCACAGAGTTAATTAATCAATTCATTCTTGTATTCGCTTTTACCTTTTGACGATTCACGTGACATTCGCACGAAGACCTCTCTAAGTTTTACAGTTTTCAAATTACAAAATAGAGCCAGTCTTATCCTAACCTTAGATCTGAACGTGTGGCTGGAAAAATTTCAGACCTTAATATCTGGTTGTTCCCCCATCCGCATCTATCACAGCCTGACATCTTGCTGGCATACTCTGAATGAGTCTCACAAGATCTTCGGAAGACACGGAATCCCATGCCTCCTTTACAATGTTGCAAAGACTATCTTGATTTCGCTGCTTTCCGCAACCCAGATTCGGATGATGACGCTGGATGTAATCCTTCATCTTATTCCAAACAGTTTCAATCGGGTTAGGATCAGGCGAGTTGGCCGGCCAGAAAATCGGTTGAATGAGCCTCTGGCTCATATCTTCCATTGTAATTGCGGCTGTGTGGGCAGGAGCATTATCCTGCATTAAGGAAAGCCAAAGTCTCATCGAGACCATGCCATCGATAAGAGGAACTATCTTCTCGCAATATTTTTGGGAGTTAATGGAACCCCATTCCTTCCCCAAAAACAAGCAAGGGCCTTTTTCTGGCCCTGCGAAGCAACCCCAGAACATCCATCCGAGCCTATTCTTCGATATTTCTCCAACACAATCAGCGTTGTATTCTTGGGAAGTCTAGCTCATAATGTTAGAGCATCAAATTACCATCTTCTTATAGAGGAATGTATGAACACTTCTTGTCACCCATTCTCTAGAATGTCTTCCGTCCTCTACCAAAGTTTCGTCTATCCATAAAATTGACGTCCAGTCTTCATGTGTCAAATTGAGATGAGCTTCGGCCCATTCTCTGCGTGTCTTCATAGTTTTCTAAGATACTGGAGGCTTTAGACGAGCCACATGTCGCTGATATCCTTTTTTTAAAGTTCTCTTTGTATTACCGGCCCGCTAACACCAAGATGTCTAAAGGGGCCAGAGGCGAGTTCCAGAAATGTTTTGCGGCGGTTTCCAGGTGAAGACTCAACGTAAGATATAATCTGATCAACATCGTCTACTTTCAGCCTTGAGAATGTTCTTTTTCTCTTTTTGAGGAGACAGTTCCGCGGCGCAGTGAATAGCTAACTTGTCCCCGAGAAATGCCTAGTTGCGCGTCAATCTGCATCTGGTTTTTGCCAGATTCATGAAGCCCACAAATCTTAATTTTTCCTTTAATTTTTATTTGGTCATATCTAATTTTTCTACTTACTAAAATTTTTTGATCTCTGGATAATTGTTTGATTCGAGGTGTTGAGGTGGGGTTTGAGGTGGATTCATCTGTAAAATAAGGTTATTATCGAGTAAAGCCATGTGTCTTCTGAATAAATAACTTTGTATTTGAGAAATCTAATTCTTATTGTAACTCAAGCACAAGATTGTTTTTTTTTACTTTTGGTCCTAAGCTAACGCTATCTTTTCCACATTGGGTCAAGGACCGGTGGAGCCGGCAAGGATCACTGCGTACAGGCCCAACTCATTCCAACCGCATGAACTTCTACTGAAATTGTAGAAGTTAACAGCAAAACTAAAATCAAAAACATAAATCAAAAACTGAAATCAAATTTGGAAGAAATACTGTTTGGTCCGGATCCCGCGCTTCTCGCCCGTTCCCTTTCCAGCCACATCTTCCACGTGACTTTTTCTTATCTCCGCTGAGAGCGAAAGACTAGTTCGCAGATACCCTGAATTCAGCTGGTATCCTGCTATATATATTGAAGCTTTTTGTAGACTTCACCGAGGGTTGCTCTACCCTCAAACTTCTTCTTCGGATCCCAGGATTCCGAAACCCGATCCCTCGGCCATCGAGACATCCTTCGTTGAGGCCATCGTTGCCTCTTCGGCCCTTTGGGCTGCAGCCCTAAATCGAGCCACTTTCGCGAACTCCCCTTGCTGGGTCTGGCTAAGCAGGCCCGGGAATCCGATCGGTGAGGTCCCCCACAGTTTCGACACCGGGTGAGGGCCTTGCACTCTGATTCTGAGTGCATATTAGATCCGCATTTCCAGCAAGCTGGAGCGCGGGAACAACCACGGGTGGCGTGAAATTCAAGACACCGTCTGCATTGTTCGATTTTGCGACGAGGTCGGAAGAGCTTTGCAGCTCCAGAGTCGTCGAAAAGGCGGAATCCAGGTCGAAGAGTGGATTCTCGGGGAAATAGCGCTTGCCAATTTGAGTAGGGCGCCCCTGGTTTGCTAGTCCCATGAGGACGATCCAGAAAGGGAACCAACTGGGTCACTCGCGTGACTTCGTCGGCAACCATCTTTGCCGTCACGGCGATTGGGCCAGCAAGAGTTCGAATTGTCTCCGGGACGGTGGCAATTTGCATGGCAACCAGATTTGATGCTGGTTCCGGTTTGATTCCAGATTCGCTCCGTGATGTGGAGGAATCTAGGAGCTCTGTTCGAGCGAGTTAATCCTTTGCGGTTATTGCAAAGCCGGTCTTTACCCGCTGAACCAACGTGATATTGTTGGCAGCGGTTCCCAGCGCCTGAGACACCGCTAGCCTTACTCCAGCTGGAGAAAGGAGACGGTGGGGATGGAAATGGTCAAGGCGCAGAAAAAGTCGTGAATCGGCTTTTCCACTCGAGTTGGCACTTTTTGCTTTCTGGGCGGGCGGTGCTGCCTTTTTTGTCGATGGCCCAGCGCTGCTGACTAGGCCTGTCCGAGCTACGGTGGCCCAAGTTGTCTTTGGGGCTGGAGCCTGGGCTTTTGTAGAGTTAGGTGCCCTAATTTCTGGAGCCCTCGGTGAGAGAGGGTTGACGGGGCGGGCAGGAAGGACTGGTGGTGTGCTTCCTGGACCGGATTGAACGAACTGGCCAATAGCTGCTCGTAGGTAGACTTTTATACCGTCTACGAATTCTTTATTTTCGCCGATCGAAAGAGGCGAAAGTGCTGCTTCAACACTGTTTATCGCAGTCGAGCAGATGGCGAGGCGGGCCGTGATTTGCGTCGTACGTCGCTTTTCGGCCTCCATCACGGTTTGTAGCTCCGGAGGAAACTCCATAGCTGATGTCGATGCTGCGCCTTTTGAGGCTAGCACAGCATTTTTTCCGGCAGACGATTCTGCACGTTCCGTCGTCCTTTCTCTGACGACCTCCTTTCCTTTCCTGGACCTGCTTTCCTCGAGGGCCACCTCGGCGGGTTTCGCGGTCTGTTGACTGTTCGTTTCTGTTCTGTTCTGATCGGATCAGAATCAGTCATTTCTTGGTCGGGAAGGGTGGAAGACTTCCCTGGGAGAAAGGCCTCACTCGCAAACAAGCTTGATAATTTTTGCGCGAGGCCAGGAGGTTTTGGACACGTGTGTGTCCGTTTAAAGCCGACAGAAATGGTCGACTTTGGTCGTTTGCTCTTCATCGGAGGCATTTTGGGACGCCTTTCGATGGTCATCAATTCGAGAACTCAAGCACAGCAATAATCATGAGAAGGGAAAAGGGAAATAGGGAATTTTCGAATTTCTCGAATTGTGCGTTTTTTGTTCATTAACGTGCTAGGTGAAGTAACTACCGTCGCACTCCTACTGGAGCTTGAGCAGGAGTGGGGTCGGGCCGGATCAGGTTAACTACCGTGCAGTACAAATGCCTCGTCCCACTTAAATGACCGGAACCATGCCAAAATGCATCTATGTGTTGAACCATGACGAATTCGGCAGCCCATAATTGAAAACAATACAAAACTTTCCCGCGAAATCCCGCATTACAAAAGAAAAACTTAAACAATCTCCCTTCTATCGTTCCGCCTCAGCCACCACGCGCCTGAGCCTTAAATCCAATCTCTCTGTCCATGCCAAACCACCTAGGCTTCCGTTCTACCACCTCCGAGTCACGGGTATCCCTGCCATCCCCCGACTAGCCTCTGCGTATATTCCGCTCTCCTGGACGTAATCCCTGAACAGCTGCCATCCCCTTGATCCGAGCATTGTATCCAGAGCCGGCGCCCTACGCTTTCCGCTTTTCAGCCGCCATGTTGCCAGTGCTTTTCGACACTGGACAAGGTGACCAATTGATTTTTCCCTTCCACACTCGCATATAAGTGTAGCGTCAG